GAGTTTAAGAAAAATTAAACGCTGTAAATTTTTCAACTGTGAGCAATAATATAAAATCAGTTTTTGGCAAAAATCAAGGCTTTGTTTGCTGTATTAAAATATATTGTAGGCAAATTTAATCCGGTAATTCTATTCATTCGATTGAAAAATATCCAAGGACTGAAATTTCTGCCTTTAAGTGCGGTCTTTTTCCATGTTTAGGAATTTATTCCGTGACAACAAGCAATCATTTCTTTCTGTAAATTTATCCGAATATTTTGTTATTTATTGCAACAAAAATATTTAAGTTAAATTTGCATTTTCGTTTCTATACATACATATGTATGTGAATATGCCCTGAATGTGTAATATTTTACTTTCACAGTGTTTTTGTACATTTTTGAATAAAATTCAGTAGATTTTTACAGAAGAAAAATTTAGCTATTTAATCTTTTAAATGCATATTTTAAGCACGCTTTTGATATCATTCGCGCATATTTATTATTTTATCATGCATATTTTAAGCGCTTAAAATCATGTTCTTGCGGGATATTTTTGGTTGCCCTACTAATAACAAACTGTTTTCGTTTATTTAATATGTAATTATGTACATATTTTATGGGGCAACTGCTAAATTTTATAATTTAATTTTATAAAAAAAATGAACATGCTTAAAACAAAATCATATACACCGTGTTTTAAAACTTTATACAAACCAAAGATAAATTTAACGATTTTTCATAAAAACGTTTGACGTTTTAATCAGATTTAAAAAAAATAAACAACGGTGGTAAACAATCTCACTTTGAAATGCTATTGATATGAACGATACTGAACATACGTAAATATGTATCTGAGCACCCGAAATGTGTAGTTATGCAGTGATTTTTTTGTTTTAATTTGCAAGGTTTTTCATTTAAATATTTTTCGTTAACTTTTTATTTAAGTACCATACTCCATAAACCATTTAAATTCAAATTAATAATTGTGCTGCAAACTTGATAGAACTCTAAAAACTGTCTTCAAATTTTAAACGTTTTAATCATAGATTTTTTTATAAATATTTCAAGTGAGCTTGAAAACAGTCTATTAATCAAATCGATGTTTGTCGATACGCGTGAAATTTTGCGTGTATGCTGCAGTCTAAACATTTTTATGTCCTTGTTTCTTGACTCTGCAGCTTCTTCAGAAAGATCCCCGATCGATACTAAGCAATTTTTTATGATATCAGGAGCGTGAACTAAGATTTTATGAACAGAGGGAAGTAGATAGTACCATGGATATTTATCGATCAGCCGCTTAGCAGTCTCAAAAGCATAGTCCCCGAATTTCGCAGGATTTATATTGTAGCCTGAAGCCATGGCTTGCAATAATGTTGAACATCTGATAATTAAGTCTTCATCAATGCCCGTAATTTTAGCAGACATCAGAATTGTTGAAAAATTGCTATATTTCCGTCGTTGGAAGAGCCACTTCCTCCAGCTTTGGGTTTGTCTACTATTATTTGTTCGAAACTCAGACTGAATATTAAAGAAATCGGGTATACGAGTGTAGTGGCGATAGCTCAAATTCAAATCGTGCTTCCTTAACTTTTCTTTGTTAGCATTTTTCTAAATCGTTCATCTCCGTAGGCTTTGCTTCTCATATGTAACATTTTGCTGAGGAGGTTTGGCTTAAAGCATTACATATTTTCCCATTCACCATAGTGAGTTGCAAATAATTTTCAATTTCTATTCTTCTATTTGCAGTTACAATTATTGTGGGTCTTAGCCGATGAATTTTATCTTTGAAATATCTCTCTTCCGCAATGCATAGTTGAGTGGTTTCTTTCTTAAATTGAAATCGGATAGGTCTACAGTACCGTGTAGACGATGGTCGAGGATTCTTCCAAATTGTTATAGACTCTTCCGACTTGGTAACAAGTCTAAGGGGCACGTACGATGTTACAAACAAACTATTATCTGTCACGTCAGTATCTAAAAACGTTTGCTTATATTTAGCATGTCCAGTGCTACCATCGAATCCCCACTTTCCTATTAAAATAAGGTTATTAACCGAATCATTTTTTATATCTAGGAAAACATTATTCTGAAGCTCCAATATGCGCGAAACTGTGTGAAGGTCCACTTCAGGTCTCACTACAATTTTGTCAGGATAGCTTTTAGTTTAAGCCTTCAGAACGTTTTCGTAGCTGGGTAATAAGTCATATGCTGCTTTCGAATTTATGAATGTACGAAATAGCAAATATTGGTTTTTTGTTAAATTTGTTTCCACCAAAAGCCACACAACTTCATAAATATTTGCTTCGGAAAACAAAGGATTTGCCTGAAAATTGGGAGATCGCAAACTGGAAGCTACAGACTCATCATGCTTTGCAAGCTCGACTATTCGCCGGCGCTTAGTCCTTTTTGAAGACTCAACTAAATTTATTTTAGGACGCCCACGATTTGAATTGGTGGAAACTGTTGGTTGACATTTTAATGAAATGATTTCTTTCTTTTCGAGCCAATTAGAATAATTTTTCAAAACTGCTGATTTTTGGCGTTTGGATCTTTGCCAAAACAATGCAAATTTTTTACAAACGTAATTAATACATTTTTGCAACTCATACCGATCTGGCTCATAACCCTCATATTCAATATCGTTCGCTATTGCACCCAGCACATTTTCAACTTTCTGGGAATACGTACCGGAAATTTTCGCGCCAAACCTCAAAAACATGCAATCGAGAAAATTCGCAGTGGTAACTTGTGCCTAGAAACATTTCGAATTAGAAAATTAGATATACCAAAAAATAAACATGATAACACTGTAGAAAGTAAAGAGCTTGGATTACGTTATGGAATACTACGCGAGCCTCTGCAGGTTAATGCACCTACACTGAACTCTTTTATAATCCTAAAATATTAGCAAACAATATGTAAATAAAAATATTGAGGGCCGATAGAGGAAACACACTTAAAACATTACTTAAATACTTGAAAGGCGAACCAAGAAAAACACAAAATCCTACTTTTCTAAAACAACGATTTGCATAAAACACAACACGAATTATCTAAAAGTTTAATTGCAGAAATAAAGTCAGTACCTTTATGTACAATATCCATTGCATACAATTTTAATTCACTCGACCTTTCACGTTAATTACGTTAAATCCAATTCATCTTTCAGCGTGCTGACGCTGTACAAATAAAATGAACAATTGATGACACTTTTGTTGCTTTTTTCAGAAACAACCGTTAGAATAAAAACAAAAAAATATATGACAACATGAAGTTTAGACAAAAACTGATTGCTAAGCCTATTTTGGTTCAAAAATTTTTACATACATTTTTTTAATTTTGGCCTATGGCAGCAACCACTGTGCATTGTGAATATTCAAAATTCTATATGTTCTTATTAGATGTCGAGGAGTCTATGTATTACATTTCAATACATGTAATACAATTTAACGCTGAGTTATCCCAAATAAGCATTCAATACATTACCGGTTTTCTCATTTTTTGACACGATTCAGTTTAGATTTTTAATCATATGTATCCCAGAAATACCCATTATACGTAACAAATATAAATTATTTTTAAGAATAACGGGAAAATGAAGGAATAACTGAGACTTTATCGAGAAGGTTCTGCAATTCACTTCCGAGTGAATCTCAACCCCTGCCAATTTGAATTCAAAGCGAGTTTGATTGAAATTCACTCGAAAGTGAATTGCAGAACCTGCCTGTATGTTCCTAATTTTAAAGCACAGTTTGCCTTAAAAAGTAAATTAGTGCAAATCAAATAGCTCCTTAAACATAAAATGAGGTACTCTTTATTTACAAAACTATATGCGTGCTTATTTAAAGAAAAGGCCCGGTACTATGCTTCTTAGAACCTTCTCAAAACTAACCACATTTTTTCTTTTCCGGAGGTGACCCTTTTTCAACTATATAGGAACTGTTGTTATACGAACTTTCTCAGAACCATCTCAGCCAGAGTCAGCTCAGAACAAGTTCAAAAGTTCTGCAGAGGGCGACAATTGTCACTTCGTAGGACATCGCCATGTTAAAAAAGACTGTTGAAAGCACTGAGTTGGGATATATGAAGAACCAGTACCGTCCCTTTTCAGGCTAGCTCTGCGCAAGTGCTGAACCAGTTTGATTTGCTGCAGGGGATATTAGACATCTTAGAAATAAAAATTAATGTATGTATATACATATATGTACGTGTGTGTGGATTTTGTAGGCATCCAAAGTACCAAACCAATCTTTATGAAATTTTTACAGCAGGTTCATGTGATCCCTGGGGGAAACATTGTCTATATATGATCATTCCAAAATATACAATATGTTCATATGGAAAAATAGTGACATTTTCGAAAAAGAAAATTGGTTTTATTTTCTGACACTTTCACTAGAAATATTGTATTCAATAACGAAAGGATGCCTTAAGTCCTTTAATCTGGTATAAAGAACTATAGAATGTGCTAACTAAGAAATTTGCACAGATCGCAAACTTTTCCTACATTTGTAAACTAGTGTAATTAGTCAGTGATAGTGAAACTTTCGTTCCCTTACCGCTTACCAGACAGTGATAGTGAAAATTCTATTTCATTATCACTATGTAGTGGTAGTGAAATTGAAATGCGCTACCACTAACCATATAGTGGTAGTGAAATTTGAAATGCACTACCACTGAAGCCTTAGTGGTAGTGAAAATCTCGATTTAGTGCAGCGTGCCCACCCCTGTAGCTCGTTTCTGTAACTCTTCTTTACCGATTATTTCTCTACTGGTAGAGAATATACGTCATTCTCTCCTACTCATTAGCAGTAGAGAACAGGGCGGCGAATTCATGTCTCAATTCGCCTTGGTAGAGAATTGTTACAGAAACGAGCTACTGGTGACAAATTCTTGTCACAGTTTTTATTACGGAAAAATATATGTATGTATGAAAAAGTTTAAATTTGTCAGTAAAAAAATTTTGTCACCGATACAGAATTGGGTTATTACGGCTCTATTCTGTATCACTGACAAATTCTTGTCACAGTTTTTATTACGGAAAAATATATGAAAAAGTTTAAATTTGTCAGTAAAAAATTTTTTGTCACCGATAAAGAATTNGTCACCGATACAGAATTGGGTTATTACGGCTCTATTCTGTATCACTGACAAATTCTTGTCACAGTTTTTATTACGGAAAAATATATGAAAAAGTTTAAATTTGTCAGTAAAAAATTTGTTGTCACCGATAAAGAATTTGACTATTAATCTTAAATAAATGAATTGTATGCTTTCAGAATGATTTTTTGTAATTGAAATTTATTTGGTAGATGGTAAACGATTTTGGTTGGATTTGGGAAGAAAATTAGTAGGAAAAAAATTGTTAGTGGCAACGCTGGTTGGTTCTCAACTTTGAAGATGGTTACACAGCCAACTAACAATTGCAGTGTAAACACTTGTTTACCATTTCTGCTAATACATAATTGTATCCAAATTATAACCTGTGGCAGCATTAACAGTAATTGTCGATGAGTAGTTTTATTCTTTGTTTCATCACATTTCTGTAGTTTTTGGCGTCGAATTCGTAGTTTTTGCGTTGTGTACTGATACATATTTTATCGAGCGAAGGAAATTTGAATAAGTTATTTACCAAAACTTGTAAGTATGAACAGTTTTTAATGCACATGGTAAAGTTTCAGTTTGCATACATTTGATGTTCTCTTTACCTCAGCTGTCGAGCCAGAAGATGCTGCTTTGCAAGAAAACTTAACTCTTCAGGGAATTTTTTTCACACGGGACCTATTAAAAGGAAATGGTTGTTCTTACTTTGAGTTTTATCCAAACACCGATATAATGAAATGAATGAAATTTAGCATTACAAATTTTATCTGATAAATGTTTAGTATACAGTTCACAAGAAAATTTACAAATTCATATAAAATCACACTCAAGTAATGAAAAAGAAATTTTCTTTTATAAAACGTTCTTAAATGAGTCTTAAAATCTCAAGACAAACTCGTATATGTATTTAGTTCTTCAAGAAAATTAACACCAACGACAAAGTTCTTCTTCTTCTTCTTGGTGACAACAACAAATGTTAACGACTTATCCAAGGTTTCACTAAACAGTTTTAAATTTATCAGACTTAAAATTTAAAATGTTTAATTTTCCAAACAAAATTGTGTAATTTTAAATTTTAACAGGCTGATAAATTTTAAATTAATTGGTGCAGCCGGGCATTAATACATAAAGACAGAGACATAACTGTTATAAGGAGTAACAAAAAAAATTGTTCCATAACTATTAAATTAAATATACATAAGATTTTGTTACTTTACATAATAGTTATTTTTAACACAAAATAAGTTTTGCTCCCCTATAAGTATTATTCACAATATAATCTTTTTTCCGTGGCTCGTAACTTTCAACCATGTTTTACACAACAGAGTTGTTAAATCACTCTGCAAATTTTTGAACAAAAAGCTTTCCGAAATTTCATAAAGAGCGAAATACCCCACACAAGCGGCTTGTCAAACAGTCTTCAAACTTACTTTTTCCATTTCGCCATATACTATGCAAACATGACTCGTTCAAGCGAAGAGTTTTAGTTTTCTTCCGGTTCACAATGTAAAAGTGTTTGTTTTTCTTCTATTTTTCTATCTTGCGTCATCATTCGTTAAAAATTCCGTTGCAAATGAGGCGATTCTATCATACACAACGTAAGTGTTGGATCAAACGTCAACATGGCGGCCAGGAAATAAAAAAAATTTTTATTTTTGTTCACATTTCCCTCAAACGGCTTATCAAACCTTCAAACACCCCCTACACAACATTAATAGCTTTAATATCTGTCAAACTTACTATAAATTTTTGGTTTATGCTGATAATCCATTACAACGCTAGATGGCCAATGTGCTTAGGGGACGCGGTAGATACTACATACATATATACTTGTATTCTAGCAATTTAAAAACACTAATATTACATTTACATTGAGCCCAAATGCGTAATTTGGGCAAGAAATCTGAAATGCGAAGTCAAATCAGGTATTTCTCCATACAAATTCGCATTTCCAAAATGAGGCGTTTCAACGCTTTTAATCAAAATGAACTCAAAAACAAAAGCTCTCTAAAAGCTTTAGTTTGTTTTTGACATTTTGAATTTTTCAAATCAAAACAAACTCAACGTAATAAATAAAACTTTGATATTTGTGTAGAAAAATTGTTAATTTACGCATAAATTCGCACATTTTTAGTTAATGCAAAGAATAATTGCCTCTTATTTGTCCAAAACGTGTTAAAAAATATAGGGCGTGCAGTGTTTGTTTACATTAATTTTGTTTTTCTTTTCCGTTTTCAATTGATGAGAAGTCAAACGAAATGCGAATCAAGCAGTGTAAACGCCTTCAAATTACTGATTTCAAATCACGCATTTGGGTCCAATGTAAATGTAATATAACCTCCCAATTGTGTGTTTTCTTGATAAATTATTTGTAAAGAAATTTTATCAAGCTTTTTATCAAGTAAAAGCTCCCATCGCATTCTGTGTCAATATTTATAAAATTAAAAACAATACGATTTCCACATGAGTGGGACTGATTTCATTGTCACATATGAAAAATATGAATTTAAAAACAAAAACGCTTTTGACTGCCGTAGCCGAGTAGGTAGAGATGTCGACTATAATCATCGTACAGTTACTATATTAAAAGACGTTTTTCTGTAGGTTTGGGTGGTTAGTATTAAGTAAGTTAGAATTTAAGTATAAATA